CCTTTCTCCCGATGAAGTTCAGTAACCTCCTCCTGAAGACGAAATAATTTATCCTTCGTGTCCTGGGAGTCAACCTGGTTCCTTGGGACGATAAAGTACACGAAAAAAACTTGACAAACCCAAGCGCTGCTTTTACTGTAAGCGTCTGATTCTCCTTCTGCAGTGACTTATTTTCTCGGTGGAGTTGGGCACATTCATCATGAAGCTTAAGCATACGATCCTGGATATTGGCATCTATGGAGGGCACAAAGGGCCCCAGAACAATTAGAGCCAGGAGTAAACTCTTACACTTACAATTACGGAAGACAACGTCATAGCCATGACTTTGGTGCACGTCACGCTCATGAAAACTCGTAAGCAACTCCGAAAGCCATGGTGGTTCGACTGCCATCTACTCGAAATTTCTAAAAAAAAAATGAGAAACGGTTCGAGGGCTGTGCACTTCAAATGCATGATTTAACGAATGACACGTACGACAGAGCTTCCGGAGACAATTTTCCAATTGGAAAACGACAATAAATTAAGACATTATTTAGAAAGAGGTCTCTGCAAAAAAGTCATAAAATAGAGGGTTTTCCGAGGGAAGCACAGCACTGATAACGACCCTAACAGACTGCGGAGTCTGGTAGCGTCTCTGACAATGGTGAAAGGGGCGGGACTGGCGTCTGACATCAACGTTAGTTTGGCTTAAGTTTCAGTCTTGAGGACCGTAATGCAGTGAGATTGTGTGCGGTGGTTGGAGCTACGGAACTTCGACTGCAACTCAAATACTAGCTATGACAATTAAAGAATTTCAGGTACAGAGTCCTTTCAAACTAAATTTTTTTCCATCTAACTGCCCCAAAAAGTCAGCAATTAAAGCGACTGGGCCAGACTAGATAGCAGGGGAACAGACTAGAAACAATCAATAAAGTATATGTGCTGGGCATCGCTTGGTTTCTGAATCGGATGTGCGCTCACCGATCAGGTTACGGAACATGCTTGTCCCCTTGTGCCTTGGACCTCAAACTAGAACTCTCGCAGGTGGTCGCATAGCGATTAGTGATATATGCAGATAAAGTGATACATATATATGCCTATATATATGCTTATAGAAGCAAAGATGCGCGTCCCCGGACACAAATGAGAAGAAGATGCGATCTCGGGAACCACAGTTATATTGCCCTGACGTTTCAAGAGCAAACAATCTTCCGTCCTTCAAAGTGAGCATTGTACCGCGCTTCACTGTATTTATAGGTAGTGACGATCTTGCTACAACGGGTTTACGTCTATTCGGAGGCCGTCGTTCGTCGTCACCGCACGTGTTTGCATTGGCCTTAGCTCTCGTCCCAGGCTGGCGATCTTCTTTGTTACCCCATTGTCACTTGTGTTCTCACCTGCCGCATGAGTAGCAGTGACGATAGCGCCTTCATCGGATCCGTTAGCGTTACTGCGATCGTTTGCCTTCACACCTGCCAGATAATTGGACGACGCGGCTGTGGTGACGATCGAAACTTCAACAGATTTGGGTTGTAGTACAGCTGCGCGTGTGTCCCCCATGGACTCGGCCGTATTTGGGTTTCCATCTTGTCGTAGCCTGTCT